GGGGCGGATGCAGGATTTGGCGGTAGGGGGTGCGTGCAAAAATTTGAAGAATTAGTATCTGTAGATGGCCGGAAATGACACATTTATAATAGTACATTTCGTCATCATTACATCACTATATCATCGTATAGGACTAGTCAAGATGAAGCGCCAACACATTTTCATAATCTTTTGTTTTTTTTATCGGCTTTTTTCGGCAACCATAGAGATCTAAGTAGTATGTGTGATGAAAAAAATATATAACTTAAAACATTCACTTTAGTGTATTTACTTTACATACTTCAAAGCAGTGAGACCACAACCACCTCTGCCCCACCATGGTTGGGGCTGAGGTGGGTGAGAAAATTTGAGGAAATAGTATCATAGATGGCCGGAAATTACACTTTTATACAGTATAGTAAAATTCATCATAATCACACCATCATATCTAGATGAAGCGCCAGCAAATTTCTCATGATTTTTAATCAGGAATTTTCAGCAACCACAGAGATCTAATTATTATGAGTGATGTACCATAGAAAAAAAAAACTAAAGAAACACTTTCTTTGATGTATTTAGTAATTTATTTGACATACCTCAAAGCTGTGTGTCCGCATTCACCTCAACCCAACCATGGTTGGCGCCGAGGTGAGAAAAATACCTCTAGATGGCCGGAAATGGCACACAATTCTTCATCATCACCAACATTATATAGTCAAAATGAAACAAATTCTCGTGATCTTTCATCAGCAATTTTCGGCAACCACAGAGATCTAATGTGGATGCAACGTGGGCACTCACAATTTTTAATATACCCAATGACTTGGTCGAAATTACCCAAGATTCAATAACAATTGCCCAAAATTACCCAAGCTTCCAGAAATGCATTCAAATTTGAAAAAAACGTGTTTTTCGCATGTATAATTTCCCTTTTAGTTCATTCTATAAACCATTTTTTATTGTAATTGTTTGTGTTTATTAAAATTTATATTCATGAGGTGATAATACGGATAGAAAAATACGCCCTCAGTCGGCCAGTAGTGTTATCAGAAGATCAGTTACCAAGTTTTATTATGTAATGCATTAATTATGTAAGATCAATGGCAACGCAAATCACAAATAAACAATTCTGAACCCATGTTTATAGCAATTAACAGTCAATTAACAAAGTTATGTGCAATTCATTGAGGTTTGCTTACTTGACTGAAATATACTTTGTTACCGGTACTTCTTAAATCTTCCTCTATAAATAAATTAAAAAATAAATAAATGGTTGGGGCTGAGAGAAAAATACCTCTAGACGGCCGAAACTGGCACAAAATTCTTCATCATCACCAATATTATGTAGGCCTAGTCAAAATGAAACGCCAACAAATTAGCTATTTTAGGCAACCACAGAGATCTAATGTGTGATGTACGGCACCATAGGAAATACAATTTAAAAACATGTCTTTGATGTATTTACTTTACCTACTTCAAAACTGTGAGTCCACACCGTCCGCATCTCAGCCCCACCACAGTTGTGGCTGAGGTGGTAAAATTTGGGGAAACTGTACCTCTAGATTGCCTGATATGACACTCTTCTATGTAAAATTCATTATTATCGATCTAATTAATCGCTTACCATAGAAAATAAAACTAAATTGTCGTTGATGTATTTACTTTACCTACTTCGTGTGTCGAAAACCAATTTTATCTTTGTACGCTTTTTCTCATAGCCTACTTCTCAAATTACACTAAAGACACGCGCACTCGAATCGTGTATGATAGGTAATTCAGATGTTTGTGGGCAGAGTATAGGCCTACCGGTATCTTGCTATAAAATAAGATGTAATCTGGCTGTAGGCCTACCGCGCTCTTTCGTTAAACCTGAGTCATTTATGCAGTTTAATTCAACAATTTTCAGGCATATCTTCTTGATTCCTGAAAAGTGGGGAGGACAAACCCTTTCCCCTTAAAAATATGTGTGGGGGGGGGGGGAGTGGAACGTGTTCCCCTTCCCCAGTGATCTGCGCCCATGGGTCTGAGAAGAGTCCACTTTACCTCAGCCCCAACATGGTTGGGGCTGAGGCGCGAAAATTTTGATCAAGCTCTGGGTGCCAGAAAATTGCACTCTCCTACCTTAAAAATCTTACCAATAATTCATATTAACAATATAATACAACAATTATTTTTCTTAATACAATTTAGGGGGGGTTGCGACGCCCTCCCCCCTTTATCCGCACTAGTTATCAGTTAAAATTTGAAAGAGTGAGTAAACTTATGGCCTGAAACCCAGACTAGACCTATACAAGCTACGATAATTACTATATATGATAATGTACCTCAGTATTAATCATCAGCACCATTACTATCATTATTATTATCACAATTATCATCATCGTTATCAATTATCATCATCGTTATCATCACCATATTTCTCGTCTTGATTAGAATTGGGGGCTTTGTAATTCAAGCTGTTAACAAATTTTTAAATACTTAGGCGTTTGGTTTGATCGTTCACTTACCTGGATCTGGATCAATACCGTAATGGCGAAGGACCGCTGGGGTATGTGCCAGGGGTGCGTCTCTCGGTGTGTACACAATACATCAAACCAGACCAAACAAAACCACATAGTGCAATTACCAATCACAACAGTTTGACAACAACACCAACTTTTTTTTTTTTTTTTAGTACATGACAATCGACTGCTTCATCAAATTGAATACTTGACTGTACATGCTTCTAGGCGGTGCAACGATAATTATACCATCATTTATGTTTGTCCAAAGTGTAGATTTAAAAACAGGTAATGATTTAGCTTGTTTAATATTCTCTGGCAATAAATTCCATGCCCTTATAGTGCGTGGAAAAAAAAGAAAATTTATATTTGTCACTTGAGCATCTTATATCCATAAGGTTAAAATTACTGGAATTTCTTTTAAATACTCTTCTATGGTTATTATTCTTTATATTTGATGCTACTATTATAGCTGTTTTTCCATGCCATGTTCTATAAAGAAGTGATTGTCTAGCAACAAACCTTCTATGTTGTAGGATAGGTCAATTCAATTGTTTTTGAATCTCCGTAATACTCTATTTCTTTCATAATTTTTAGTGGCGTATCGAGCTGCTTTATTTTGAATCGATTGTATTTTGTTGATTTGTTTTTGTTGATATGGATCCCATACTCTCTGCGCATATTCCAACCTTGGTTTAACGAATGTAGTGTAAGATTTATTTTTAATTTCAATAGGGCAATTACGAAAGTTGTAAATACAGGGTAGCCATTCTCAAGAA